ATCAAACTTTTTTCATCTGAGCGTCACTGGTTAGTCTTGTGTGGATGAGACGCACGTCTGGCGTATTGAATTTTTAGCCTAGTACCTTTTTGTTAGCTATTATTTGTGTGTTTCTTTGTCCTATATGTTCTCCCATTTATTTGTATTGTGGTCCTGTCATGTGATGTTGTCGTTTTGGTGTTGTGTTTGACGTTGCCATAAAAGCGGGAGGTTTGGCATGCCACAAAACCAGGTTCAACCCACCATTTTTTTCTTCAAATGTCCTGTACCAAGTCAGAAAAATGGCCATTGTTATATTATAGTTCGTTTCTGTGTGTGTTACATTTTAATGTTGTGTTTTTGTTGTGCCGTTGTTCTCCTCTTATATTTGATGCGTTTCCCTCAGTTTTAGTTTGTAACCCGGATTTGTTTTTATCTCTATGGATTTATGAGTTTCGAACAGCGTTATACTACTATTGCCTTAATTTAAAGACGCAATTGATGAAAATCTTCTTTAAATGAAACAATCGGAAATTTTAACAAACGTTTTCATCAAATTTTCACAAGTTTATCGCAGTTAAATTTTTTCAGATGTTTAAGGCCAACATTATGAGTTTATCGATAGACACTGAGACAATAAACTTTACCTTTAACCAACTCATCCAAAATGACTAGAGGTTTTTCGCAAATACTATTTATAAGCAAAGTTTAACAGAAGGTTTAACATGAATGTTTGCATTTGAATAGTAAATATATATAAACAGCGTCTACTTCAAGGAAAAAATCCTTTGGTAAGATTTATAGAACATGACAGTCTACAAATAACTTTTACTGAGTATGTGAAAATGCTTTGGAGGATATATTGACATATATTGACAATTAAACTCTTATGACATAACAAGAAAAGAAATTTGGTTTGATTGCAAATTATCTATTTAGAAAAATGGGTACTTAAATTCTACTTTATAATATATAAATTTATCAAATACAAATCAGAATATCTAATACGTTTGTTCATTAAAATATAAAATATGCCCTTGTATTGTAAACAATTAAGGCGACAGTAATTTACCGATGTTCAAATCTGGTAAATCAATCAAGAAGAGACAAATTAAAGTAACAAACAGAAACTGCATGAATCGCATGAACTTCAAAAGCAGCGAAACCGGGTGCTTTGACAGGGTAAGTGTCTCCTGCTATGGATGCAGCACCCGCCATACGTACTCACACTCAATCAAATTGTCACAATCGATAAAATTACAGATCAAACGTCTTTATTTATATCTAAAGATCTAAGACCGCGAAAACATGTTGCTAGTAAGTTGAGACACCGACACATCGTACCGGTCAACTATTCGTAATAGAATAGTTAACGTAGTGTTGATTTCGGTCTTTCTTCATCATAACTCTGTTGGATGACTTATTGTGTAAGGAGCACAACCCTGTTAATGCCCTCCATGTAGTTAGAACATGCACGAGCGTAGCGTATTAACTGAGGTATGTTAAGTTAATAAATGGGAAGTTGACAAATTGGAAAGTTGAAAATATCACGTATGTCATAGATTTTAAATTTTAGTCGTCCATCGGTGTCAATATCGCAGAAAAGATCAAGATATGAAGCAGACCTTCTACTTTCGGTAGTATCATTAATCTTAAGTACACTGTGATATATGAGATGTAAGCACCCATTGAAGTGTAGGTTATTGAGTGAAGGAACATCATCAATATATCTGAGAGTCAAATTAAAGATGCTTTTTCAAAACAAACAAAGTTTTAGGTAAAATAATAAGCAATAGTTTCATAATTGCAGGAAGTCCACCATTTTAAAGACGTTAAGTCCGTTACATAATTAAGCTGATTTAACATTTATAACGTAAGCTTAAAACATGTAAAAATACCTACAAAAATTAGATATTGATATAGATGAGCATTATTTTTGTTAAAAGGGAAACTTTTAAATTTTCTCGACTTTTATTTTGATCTAAATGTCCACTCAGCGCAGGACTGACATATAATACATTTACTGAACGGACACGTATCAATTAACAGCCTGTTAGACAACCACAGTAGATAATATTGGTCATTTGAAGAATTAAATAAATTCCCTTTCACAAATTGAGTACTAAGCGAAGAATTCGCTATTTATATAAAAAATTAACCCAGGACCATGTAGCGTTTTATAGACCGTTCAGTCATTTTCCAAATACTACATGGAATATTTGCTTCGGTCAATGTTCTACGTCTAAATGACCTCCGGGTCAATAAACTATTATCTGACCCTCATCAGTTCTAATAGTTTTTTCCAATATTTTCTATATTTTCATTTCAGTACAAAGACACATTTGTATTCATCTTGTTTAAAACAATGTTGATAATCTGACAATGTGTAATAAGATCTGTTTCCGCATGTATTTGAATAATAAGAATACTTCAGTATATATCTCATGCAAATTTCAACAAAAATAAAAGAAGGAAATGGTAATATTTTCTAAAAATTCGGAGAAAAAGTCATTTTGTCGTGTATGAGGAGAGTTTGATACTTTTTCAGTGTCGCATTAATCTGCACGGAGATCTTACATTGTATGTGAGGATATCAAACAACTATGGCGTTGGAATGTTATTTTAAATGTTAAGCACGTACTTTAATTTCAACATACATTTAAAGAGACAAAGCATTCCTTCAAGTACAACTCGGACGCACTCAAATGGTATGTTTGCATCGTCTCTATCGGTATTACAGCATGCTTTCACAAATATCATAAATTTTCAACTTATGAGCATATTAACTGTACTTTCATACACCAATATAACATATAGACTAGATTTGATTTAAATCACTTAAAGAAAAAAAAATAAGGACAAAACCACTGTCTACAAAAACCCCATGCAGATATTAAAACTCCATTAATCCTGTCAAATTCATGACATAATTATAAATTGACCATATTTTCTCTTGATAAAATTTGATTCAAATATGAACAATAAAAATTGACCAGACAATACCTGGTGTCACAAACAAACAGTTACATGCATTCAATTAAAACAATATCAAAAGCAATTCAACAAAAGTTTAAATATGCTACTTCTATTACATATCAACTAGCATAGTTTAGAATCAATACAATATTTCTGCACGGTTATCTGTTACTTTAATAACAGGATTGTCTGATATAAAATATTTTTCTGATAATAAATGTTCTTTTCTCAGATTTAAAAGATAAAAAAGTGAGAGATGTATTTTTGTAAAACTATTTTAAAATGTCTACTAAACCGAGTTTAGCTTGAGAATTCAACAATACGAAATTTCTTCTTTTATAGATACTTAATCTTGCTATACTCATAATAAAATTTGCGAAAAAAAAACCGTGATTTTTTTTTCAAAAAGCCATTAGCATCTTTTGGTCAAAATCAAGCGTGTTTACAAAGGTATCAACATTGCCCATAAACATTTATCAAAAAATCTTTCAGAAAACCAGTGAATTGTGACAGATTGACACAATTAATAAACATATTTTCTAAATCTTCTCTTGATTCTTTGCACACCGGACAAGCGTCATGTTACATTTCAAAAGTTTAACTTAAGTAAACAAAGTTCTATGAAGTACTTGAAAATTCAGTTCTTAGCATTCACCAGTCAGGATATGTAAATTTGAAAAATCCACCACATTAGACCCATCGACTCATCGTATAATTAGCGATTGGAATTTAATGACATTAGAAGGAGGCAAATACAGTTATATGCAAACAGGAAAATGCGAGTTTATCGTGTGTTACGGTAAAGATAATTAATCACCCAGTTCATTTATAAGATTTTAGTTTGGGTCAACTAAATTTATACGATGCATTTGGTTTACAGTTTGATTTAGAAGAAATACCAACATAGCTTGAAAATACAATTAATTATCTATTACTACCACAATTGTATATTAATAAGTATTGTAATTTTCATTGTTATTAATACATGTTATATCAGTATTACAAACCTAATCTTGAACTCTATCCTATTTTTTGGAAATATATAGAAATTTATATGTGACGTCACATTGTGCGTCGATCTCTTCGGCTAACATATAATACGTTGTTCGGCTATGCCTTTTTTATGTGCCGATTTAGGTTGTTTTACGTATTCGTTTTTATTCTGTAGTTAGTTACCACTTTGGTGTTAACATGTATATCTATTATATAGTCATTTTTATAAATTTACTGTTTGCAAAAGTATGAATTATTCTTAATACTAAGGATTTTCTTATCCCAGGCATATAACCTTAGCCGTATTTGGCACAACTTTTTGGAACTTTTGGTCCTCAGTGCTCTTTAACTTTGTACTTGTTTTGGCTTTCGAACTTTTTTGATCTGAAAGTCACTGATGGGTCTTATGTAGACGAAACGCGCGTCTGGCGTATGCAATTATACATTATAACCTGGTACCTTTTGATAGCTATAATTTGTGTGTGTCTCTGTCCTGTATGTTCTCCCATTTATTCGTATTGTAGTCCTGTCATGTAATCTTGTCATTTTAATGATATATTAAACATTGCCATAAAAGCGGGAGGTTTGGCTAGCCACAAAACCAGGTTCAACCCACCATGTTTTCTTAAAATATCCTGTACCAAGTCAGGAAAATGGCCATTGTTATATTATAGTTCGTTTCTGTGTGTGTTACATTTTAGTGTTGTGTTTCTGTTGTGTCGTTGTTCTCCTCTTATATTTGATGTGTTTCCCTCAGTTTTAGTTTGTAACCCGGATTTGTTTTTTTCTCAATCGATTTATGAATTTCGAATAGCGGTATACTACTGTTGCCTTTATTTTACATTCATTAACAATATGATATGTACGGATAAATATATATATTTTTTTCGTTCCAGTGAAAGGACAACACTTTTCTATATTGTTTTAAGAACAGTATTTTTCTTAGTGAAACATAAAGAAATACTACTGTATGCAAACAGGAAAATACGAGTTATATTCATTAATAATAGATATGTACCGATTAATATATATATATATGATTTTCGTTGCAGTGAAATGCCAACACGTTTCCATCTTATTTAAACAGTATTGTCATAGAGAAATATAAACACACGTGTTAGTATTCTAACGATGTATACTATGTTCTGTCCACGTAGATACACAAGAGTAAAGTTCATCGTTACATGTACAATTTTGTTTGTATTTATATTCGTAAATTTTAATTATTATACTATTGATTCTGGAATATCAAACATTTCAAAAAGTCGAAAGACGGAACAGGGTAACGATGATAAAAAAACTATACATACCAAAGGACATTTTAAAAGTATCAACATAGGAAATACATTTTCCATAAAAACAACGAATGAATCATTGTTTATCAGTCACGAGGACATTGAAAAAAATAAGGCTCCTGGGAAAGGTGTCGATTGTCCTGGGTTTTATCCTTACCAAACTATAAAATCAAACGATATAATATTGCGTGAATACCAAGAGTTTCCGAATTGGATGCAATTTCAACAAAATAGGGAAGTGGAAGGTGTCAACTGTAATTTTCTTTTTAATGGTAATACAACCGAACAAAAAAGAATCTTAAGATCGATGCTTAAAACACAGTTTGTGGTAGTCCCCCCTTCATCATATTTAAACAGAACTACAGACTGTCAGCAATATATAAAGGAGACTGGTTTTATAACATCATCTTTGACAGAAGAAGAAGAAAACTTCCCTATAGCATATAGTATAGTTGTATATAAACATATAGAACAAGTTGAAAGATTGTTAAGGTCAATTTATCGTCCACAAAACGTTTACTGTATACACTGTGATAAAAAGGCAGACAGTACTTTCAAACAGGCACTTAAAGGAATAACAAGTTGCTTTGACAATGTGTTTATGTCAACCAGATCAATCAGTGTAACATGGGGAGACACTAGTTGTTTAACACCTGACATGGAGTGCATGAAAGATCTTTGGAGACATAAAAAATGGAAATATTTTATAAATTTAACAGGTCAAGAATTTCCATTACGAACAAATCTAGAATTAGTGAGAATATTGAAGACTTACAATGGTGCTAATAATCTTGAAGGAACATTTAAAAGGTATGTTTGATTATAAAATATCCGATACATTGTTGTTTCCAATTGAAAGAAAGATCACTATTGAGACCTGATTGTAATAGGTTAAACAAGGAATATGGCTTTAGTTTTTATGTAGTGTTTTATAGACTGTTGTTTGTCTTTTCGTCGTTTTTAGTTTTTTGCCACGATTTTGTCAGTCACAGTTCGACTAATGAATTTGGATTCTCCCTAGCAATATTCCGCCTCTTGTTTACTTTGAGGGAAATCTCCATGATTTCTAACACAACATCAAAACCAGGGGTTCTCCACTAGAAATAGAAATATATCCTTTGATAAGAAGCTATTTTTAGAAAAAAAATTGAAGGATCTGAGTTTATCAAATGACATCAGAAATTGTTTGGACGAGTTGGTTTCATGTAAAATTCTTGAAAGTTAAGACTGCAACAGCTACAAATATGTAAACCTCATTTCATTACTAGTAATTAGAAAATAAACTGATGATTATCGAATTCACAATTAAATCTAAAGACACAAGCAAAAGAGTTTGATCTGTAAATTAACCGATCCTGTCCTATTCCCTATCTTGCCATTTTTGACGTAGTCTAGAATTGGATTGTAGATGATGCATTTATAACAGAAGACATTTACTCTGTCGGTGTATCTGTTTCGCTCCGTTTAGGGTTCGTCCAGGTGATTCCTATCCACCAGGTTTTTATATCAGGGTGGAAAAACAACTGAAAAAGATCCCATGTCACCATCACGAATTTGTTGACCCAAAACTAGGTGTCTCTGTCCCAACTTACGAGAGACATATTTTCGCGTACTTACATCCAAAGATACATAAGATCTGAATATTAACTAATTGTGTGGAATTCCTAATTGTGACATTTTTTATGTAGTCTGGATACTGATGGTGAGTGATGGATGCATAGTAGGATACTCTTACCCTGTCGTTGCACAATGTCTTGCTCCGGTTGAAGTACATATGATTCCTCCATGTTTATTTCTCTCCATTTGTATTTTCACACTTGACAATCGAGTTTTGAACATCGATATCCAACAAGTCTTACTGTTACCATTTATCAAGATAACCAGACCTACATGGAATATTTTTTATATTTGTAAATATATATTTTGTTAAAAGGTTGTTGTATCAGTACCTTATGAATGAAAAGTGTCAAAATATACTTTTAATTCGTTAAAGAAAGTTAATCAAAGTCATGTTATAAAATGTTTGAATCCACTGGATGGCTTAATCGAAGAGCAACGTTTTAAAGTGTACAGAAACACTTCGAGCTAAATATAAAAAAAAAAATCTTTCAGTGCCTGTCAATGCAAAATAAAATGTTAATGAGAAAATATTGTTATAAATTTTTTTCATTCTCACATAAGAAAAAAAATATCATGGAATCCAAATACACTCAACCTGCGGACTTTTCAGCTTAATAACAATGTACGTGTTCACGTTCAATAATGCAAGATCTTTGCGTTTTAATTCCAAATATTTCATTACTCATCCAGACATTCGGTTAAGTCATTTAGTCCTCATTTGGAAAAAAAATATTTTACAAGAGGCATCACAAAATACTAAAATGGGGCCTCGTCGGTGGGGTTTTTATGTCATATTTGTATATTTTATTATTTGGGGAACTTGACGTCGATGGCAAATCTAGCTTCTGTTTTTTTTTTTTTTTTCTTCTTCACTCGCAACCTCTGGACGATATAAACACCTGTCTACATATATAATGTTGAAGACTGTATTTTTATTACTACAGGTCTTTTGGTTATTTATAATGTTGGATTGCCGTTTCATTGACAAGTATGTTAACAAATACTCTAATGGATGGTTTATTTGATTTGATTTATATTAAAAATAAGTGGTTAAAAAGTCATCAAGGGTACCAGACTTATAATTTGGAACGCAAGACGCGAGTTTTCGTCTACATAAGACTCATCAGGGGCGTTCGAATCAAAACATTTGGAATTCAAAATCAAATACGATGTCGAAGAGCATTAAAATACGTAAATTCAGAAAAAGGTGTGCCAATTACGACAAAGGCAATCTATGGTTGGACAACATTTTCGAATAAATCAACATGTTACAAATATTAAATTTACAGAAAATGAACAGATGAAAGATATTTCATGCCAACACACAACTGCTGACTACTGGGCTGGTTATACCCTCGGAGACGAAACCTTCTTCAGCAATATATCATCGACCTGGACATAATTAGTTAAAAATCAATATATTTTTTTCCTAAATGTAAATAAATGACCATGGACATTGTCTGTCAATTAATAAGACTGTACTCGGATTTGAATGAGTCCGTTTAATTGTGCAGGATGACTGATATGAATCCACATCCAGACAGAATAAATAAAGTCAAATAGCAATGATTTCATGCAAAGCTCTATGTACGTTGTAGTACATCTGTTATAGTCGGTTGCAAGGAAAAAATTCTCCGACTAGACATCACAGTTTCAGAGCGTGTTGTGAGGTACTGACAACAAATATGACAGAATATATTTTTAAGAATTATTTTTAAAAGGGAATTTTTTTCACCTAAAGAAGCCACGGGAATTTTTGGGTATGCTTAATTATGGAAAAATGAAGTTCAATTCAAACCCCCAAAATGTAACCACATAAAAAATTATGTGAAAATATCGCTGGGTCGAAACGAGCCATCAAACATATCTAAGTTTACGACATTGGTAGAGGAATTAAGGTAAATGCTACCATTACCGCCTACCTAAAATGAGTTACGGATATAGACCCAATTGGTCCACGTAGACTTTTTATTTTGTCAAGCAATGGATATTATGGCCCCTCCAATGACAAAAACTTTTCTAAAAATGAATCAAACAATGGATAGTATTGTCCTTCCAATGACAAAAACTTCTTTAAAACCGCATCAAACAATGGATAGTATGGCCCCTCCAATGACAAAAACTTCTCTAAAACCGCATCAAACCTTGAAAGCATTAGTGTAGACTTTCTTACAAGCTTAATTATTGTTGATCGTTTTGCATATGCTTAGCTTTTCAAGAATCTATATAAAAAATATGAAAAATAATAGCATGAATTCAATATCAGTACAACGATAATGTTTCACACAAACAAGACATCTTTGATATCGATTTTCGCGTGCACGCCATGTGTTTTACGAATAACCTTCATCATCAACGTTCGAAAACAAACGTTTAAGAAGCAAAGCATAAACACTTTATATTGAAAAAAAGAAGCTAAACTGAACACTCTCAGCTGAAACCGTTCCAAGTCTGAGTTAATCTTAGTTCAGGGGACTTAGAACCTTGATTTTGACATATTAAAACTCGAAATTGCTAAATAGAGTCTAAAATAGTGAACAAACTGGATAGAGGCTATCAAAGATTGATATGAAACCTCTAGTAGGTTTTTTTTATATTGTAGAGCCCATACAAGAAGGTGGGAAGGTCTACCGCCACCTCCTCATGGAATTCGTCCTATACATGGATCATTGCATATTGTTGTCAACAGGAAATTCGTAGAATATATTCTCTTTAACAAAGTAGCTAAAGATTTTTTTAACTGGACTAAAAATACTAAACATGCCTCAGAAACATTTTTCAATACACTTAATTATAATCCGCAACTTAACATATCTGGATCGTACAAAGGTAAGATATATAAATCGACTGAACACAATTGGGTTGTGTCATAACTTTTTGGGTAGTTCATGTAACTCTAGAGTCGGTCTCTGTGTCTTAAATATATATATACATTATTCTCTTTGTCGTACCGTGACATTTATATTCATTATGCTTACCTGTGTGCGAACGTACCACTTCTTAATTGTCATTATTTCAGTAGTTAATGTAACTCCTTTAAGGTCATTCTCTGTGTCGTGCATATCACTTCTTTAGAGTCATTCTCTGTGTCGTTCATAACATTACTTTAGGGTATTTCTCTGTGTTGTACATATAACTTCTTTAGAGTCATTCTATGTGTCGTCGTATAATTCCTTTAAGGCCATTCTCTGTGTCGTACATATAAATTATTTAGGGCCATTCTCTGTGTCTTACATATAACTTCTTTAGGGCCATTCTCTGTGTCGTACATATAACTTCTTTAGGGTCATTATCTGTGTCGTACATATAACTTCTTTAGGGCCATTCTCTGTGTCGTACATATAACTTCTTTAGAATCATTCTCTGTGTCGTACATATAACTTCTGTTATGGTCATTCAATGAGTTGTACTTATTACTTCTTTACACACTTTGTACACAAAGAGCTTTTTGATTGGTTTGGATATTTTGTCTTTGTCTCTTTTTGAATAATTTCCCTTTTCTTGTCGACTTTCTATGTGTTTTGTTGTTCTCTTTGAGTGTGAAATAAGTTATTTCATAAACAACTTAGTATACGAATCTTATGACACTGTATTCTTTTTTAACACTTTTTTTTATTTCTGCATAATTAATAAAATCATTAGCTATCACCCGAAATTATATGATTTTAGAACTTATCAATAACACAATGATTCTTTGTTTGATAAAAAATAAATCATGTGTTTGTCTTACCCATTTAAGGAATAAGTAGACATTTTCATATAAAAATAAGGAGATGTGGTATGATTGCCAATGAAACAACTACCCACCAAAGTTCAAATAAAGTAGATGTAAGCAATAATAACATGAATAAGCAAACGTTACAGCCTTCAACAATGAGAAAAACCCATACTGTACAATCGACTATAAAAGGCCCCGACATGAAAAATATGAAACAATTGTTTATTTATCAAATCTAAAGTGAACAGTTTTTCCAGTGTATGCTAATTAAATATTTGTTGAACCAACAAAAAAGTATTTTAATTGAAATTAATAATACCAACATTCTCAATGATAGTGACAAGTGTACACGTGTGCCACGAATTAAGTGTTTGCCATTCATGTTCGGGATTTAGAACGAGAGATGATTTTTATAGAAGAAATCATTTAACTTTCATTCATGTACAGTTCAATCGAGTTATTGTGTATAATCCCTAATATTTTTTTCTTTTTGATTATACATATTATTCCCGAAAATATAAATGACTAATAATCACTAAAGTTACCAGTCAATAAAATAATCCCAAACAGTTTCATGGATTATACATGTACATAATCCCTAGTTATACAAATTTATTGTAACAGATATAAATTGATGTTTCCAGTAACCAGTAACCTATTTTTTCAGGTGTTCCGGAAACAGACTGCACATCAAATCCATTTCTGACAAGATTTAAAAACTGGGGACCTTCATCTCTTTTTTTCAACTGGCCCTGTCACGGCAAAATTGTGAGACAGATATGTATATTTGGAGTAGGAGATCTGCCGTTATTAGCAAAAAGACCAGAAATGTTTGCAAACAAATTCCACCTTAATTATCAGCCATACACTCTCAAATGTTTGGACCAGCTGATGTTTAATCGAACAAGAGACGAATATTTCAATGGCTTTAAACTTGACATTGCTAAGTATCAGTCATTAGCATTTATTAAAAATGCCATCTAAACCTCAACTGGTCTTAAATTCGTCATTCTATCCATGGTGGACAGTTGTCTTTTGATTTTTTTATTTATATTTGTGATTGCAAAATAGCGTATCATTAAAGTTTCCCAAATTATTCTAAATCAGAACAATAACTGATGGGAGACAAAACTTAAAAAGTAAGTAAGAATCATTGATTAAGGCAAATAGAGGCGGAAGATACCAAAGCGATATTACAACTCATAAGTCGAGGACAAACTGACAACGCCTTGGACAAACAAAATAATGAAAAACGACTAACCAACAACAACTACAAAGAAAAATGTCTGCACAACATATTCCCCCATTAGAAACCGCGGTTGAACTCATGCGCTAATGAAAGGCTAGCAGATCCTGCTCTACATGTGACAAATAACTCATGTTATTTTGCAAATACTTACGAATAAAATCCTCCTTTTGAAATTGTTTTAGCCGATTTGTTCGAAGTCATTTTAAATTTTTGCTGTCACTTGGTCTACGACTTTTGAAAACATTTCAATCATCCTCTAATCTGACTCTACTGAACCGATTAAAGATAAACTTAAGTTGATTGATCTTCAGTGTGTCTGAATGTATGCTTTATTATATGTTGGTCCATCACAAACAAAATAGAACATACGATAAAATGCAACTAATTGTATGTTATCAGGATGCAAAACATCTGACGGGGTTTTGAGTAATGTTCAGAATGTCAAGATGGTTCTTTCTAGGTTCTTAATAAGAGGGATTGCTCATAAATGACGATTTTTTTTTTATATTGGTTTAAACGTGAATGCCTACCTTTAATAGATAAACAGAAACATTCAACAGCTAAAAAGATCATCAATACAAGGAGGTTCTATCCGGACTCACCAGTGATGCTCGAATAAAAAAAGTTAAAAGGCAAAATCAAGTACGAAATTGAAGAGCATTGAAGACCCCAAACAGTCTTCAAAACACTCATAGAAACTAAAAGACTGGTCAAGAAAAACCCTAGGAAAACAGGAGTTGGTTTTAGTTATCCGAAAGGAAAAGCAGATAGCAGAAACTGTAAACAGCAAATAGTATCATTAATATAAAATCTACCTAAAATCGTTATGCCTAATACCAAAAATGACTCCTTATAGCAGTTTGAACCATCAAACCATAAAACGAGTTTTGACCAATTGTAACATTATTCTATATTATCTTGAAAACATTTAATAACCTTTTATTAGCAGATGCAAGTAGAGAATTATTCCCAGGATGTATATTCAGCCCAGTAGTCAGTGCTTCGATACTAACATGACTTATAACATACCTTTTGTTTAAAATTGTTCGTTTATCAAATTATGAAATTATTAAGAAACTATGGTTTCAAATCCTTCAGGCAAAGTTGACCTTGGATGGATTTGACTAGCTCTTATTTAGGTCCCTTTTAATCATGTAGCTCTTCAAGTGTTTTGGGTCTGATACATCCTCGGCTTTCAAATATTTGGCCTTGAGCGTTCCAGATGAAGGTAAATTCGGGGTAAACGGAGGACGGGATTGTGGTAACGACGATTGGAACATATCCGTCGTCATCTGTGGGACAGATATTGCATAACGGTCAACAAAATCGTGATAGTGTCCGTAAAATTTCAAAAGGGATGATTTCAACTTTACTAATTGGAACTCTTGGTTTAATAGCTTCCTTATGAGCAGCAACCCTCTATCAAGGAAATCATGATAGGAAACGAAAGCCCTGGAATATCGTATCAACTGTGAGGTGTTACTCCATATGCAGGTGCTACTGGAATGTTGCTACCTAGAAATAGAAAGTTATCAATTGGGAAGCTTAGATCATCTCTGTTTTCGTAAAATTTATAAATATCCATCAAGTAATATGTCAGCATGTCTAGAAATTGAACACAGTTCGAATGCAAATTACACTTGAAGGAATAAAATGCCCAGAAAATACAAATCTTTGGATATTTATTTATCTTGAAAACACCAATCAATCAATCTTGGAATGACGGTATTTTGTCTCTGTATTTATCAACCTCACTTCAATTCACAGCAACGTTCAGAATTACCTGAAGGCGGTTATACTTCGTGACATCGATCTACTTTTGTTTTATGTCTGACTCTTGACTCAGTTTAAATTTAATAAAAACTATTTGCAATAAAGTGCATGCCCTTCAGTTCAATTGCTTTCTCTTAATGGAACTATATGTAAACGACTGACGTTTCTGTTCATCGGGAAAAATTATCGTGAAAGAATAAGTAATGGTGGTCAAGCGTTGCGATCTGATCGTGAAAGATTTACAATCGGATCGTGGATATAATTAAGTACAATTCAACTGCAAAATCTGTGAAAAACCGTTGAATTATTAAAAGGCGGAATAAATCAGAAAAATAAAGAGAAGGTCATTTTCCCGGTAAGAAACTTATATTCTTTATCAGAATATTCTGCAATTCTTTTTATATTGGTATGAGGACATATATAGTCTGAACCAGGGATGGGCACGATTACTGACAAATGTAATCGATTAATAATCAATTACATGAAGGATTTTTGAATAATCGATTAATAATCGATTACTCTGATTTTTGTAGGTAATCGATTGCAATCGATTACTTTATCAAAAGTAATTACATTACTTTTCGATTACTGTCAATTATATTTTACAAAATTACAAAACAAATTATAAAGTAAGTTAAAGTTAAACACAATTATGTTGCTCAACGTTTGTATAGTGGATATTTAGAAATTTACCAAAAACAGCATTTAGAGCATTGTTTTCAAATTTTAAATTGACATTTTTTTTCTAGATGAAATCTCTTACTGAGGATCAGAAATATTCAAACATTCTTGAAATTTTGCTTTCAACATGAACGAGAGATGACATCGCATTGCATCAATCACTTATTTATATTGCAAGTTTTTTTTCAAAAATTTTGCTTTCATACTGACTTAGAGTAGCTTTTTTGTTTTTACTCATTAAAAACAGGTATATTTTTATTCAACATAGTTAATTGCAATGTTGGAAGTTTTCCTCTGAAAAAAGTAGAATAATTAATTAGTTCAGCTAATTTCAAAGATCAATATTTATAATTATAATGTCATGCATGAATTAATCCTTTTGTTTGGTTAACCACCCCAATTACAGGTTATAAAACTGCCAATGGAGTACAATTTATAACCTGGGGCAAAATAATGTAAATCTCCCTCTTAATTAGACATAATTGAAATGAAAACAAAGTCTACATCTTATTTATTAGAAGTCTTTTATCATCTGATTAGTAAAGACAAGAATTGTGTTTAGATTTTTTTATTCTCTAATCAAATTATAAACAATATATATTCATAGTGTCAAAATGGGATACATGTATCTATTTCTCCAAAAGAATTTCAGTGCAAAGCCAATGGTTCATTGTCGAAAGGATTTTGTGTACTTTTTAATTTTTATATCATAACATTATAAGGAATCAACTGATTATCTATTCTAATCTAAAATTCCAACTCTTATTTAAAATTATGCTTTAAAGAATGTTAATACAAATAAGCTTACTACTTTAATGTAGTACAGTACTTAATTTAAGACTCATTAATTATTCTTTTTCTATTTTCTTATTTCAAATCAATTTTCTTATTTTAATATATAAGGTCTTGAATTATTGACAAGCACATACATCCATTTTTTTTTTAAAAGCTAGATATAAAGAAAAATTTGGTAGGGGATCTGGTTGATCATAATGCAGCTTGTGACAATAGATAGATATAAAGCAGTTGATAAACTCTTAAATCATATTGATACATTCTGTTTAATACATACATACTTTCATTTAGAATAGGTTATATTTCATCAAACTATTTTACTAAAGTAATCGAAATGTAATCGAAAAGTAATCGATGATTACATCACAATTTTTGCTGTAATCGATTAAATTACGATTACATGTAATCGAAAATGTCTTCGATTACAGATAACTGTCGATTACTGGAAAAAATGTAATCAATTACAATCGATTACGATTACAGAATACGATTACCCCATCCCTGGTCTGAACCCATATATATTTAGCTATCTTTCTGTTTATAATGTATATGCACATGTATATTAAGTAAGTAATCACGTGCAGTGAATACTTTTCTAAAGTACTAAATTAGAACTCAAGGAAGAAGTAAGCTAGGTATAATAGGTATTTGACGAAGTCTGCTTACATTGAATTTTTTGAATTACGGAAGACTATAATACTGTGTATTATGCATACTTAGGATCTGTTTTCATTGTGAATTAAGTAAACATCGATCGGACTTTTTTACAATAATGACTTCGGGGAACTTTGGTAAAAAAAGTCAAACTGCTTTCATTGTTATGCATTACAAACATGTATATATGTAAAAAGCACTGTGTGTTTATTTTATAAAGACATAAATACATTTATGTGAAACTTTATGTTGATTGCACTTTTTATTTACAGATTTTTCTGATCTATACTTTAAATTCACAGATCCTTTGCATATTTGTAAATTGTTTACATGTATATTTTCTCTATAAGAACTTTTAGGTGAAAAAATCTTCTTCATTCATGTCAGAGAAACGAACATGACTTTTGAAATTAGCCGTACTTTTCTAACGTATCGAAATTATAAGGCATACACATATTGCATTTCTAAGGACGATGGTACATGATCCAAATTTGATTATCTCCCCTGTACCAGAAAATTATCAACTGATTGTCCATCGCCAATATTACAAATTCCTTATTATGTATATAATAAGTATGTCCAGAAATCCATTACTAGAGGAACCCCTTGTAATGGACTGGACTTTTGGTATGTCTGATAGGTTCGATACACAGCGAAAGAACCACTTGTGTAGAAATTCCAGACACTTTAGATTATAATCAAATTCAGGCTTTACATGCGTAAGATAAATCTAAATTCAGTATTACACCAAATTTGTTATTCTGATTCTTGTACTTCCTGTATGCGCATTCCGTTAAATATAGTATTCAGCTTAGCTTTATCTTCAACGTCTACTGTCAAATGAAAAGGCATCACACTGTTTGATGAAATTCCAATATATCTAAGTAGGAGTATATTTATCCCTCGTTCTCTCAAGTAAAATCGAATAAAGGCAATAGAAGATATACATTTGCTCATACTTCCGATACAGTATTTAGCAACCTTCCGTTGAGTATTTTTAGAGTTGTTTAACAGGTTAATACGCCATTCGGATCTAAGAACTGGTTTACCGTTAACTTCCGGCAATGCGAATTCTGATTGTCTGCATTTACTTATATTACTCATGTGCCTTTGGTTATAATTTTCGAAAGCAACCTCTTTGTTCGTACTTTCATTGTGTTCTTTGTTTCTCTCGTTCGCTCTTTTATCCCTGCATTCACTGTTACTTATGTCAGACAGGTAGGTATTCTGAATTTCCGAAAGCGTGTTCAAGTTATCGTCAAGGTATGTGTGGCAATAGTTCTAAAAAATAAAAAAATCACATTTAGTGCGCGTGTTATGAATACACTGTATAGAAATAAGTTAGAATGCAAAGGGGTTGATATACATGAGGTGGTTGTAGGTTGAAACACACTTTTTGATATTCATAACATTGCAGTTTTAAAGATAAAATTATAGCAGGAATCAATAATTGAAAAAAGCCGGTAAAATCTTTTAAGCAAAACAAGTTGGGTTAAAACGATACTTAGAAAAATTAAACAGACCTTAAGTCGATTTTAGAGGAAGCAAGTTAACTCGTACCATTGTAAACTCGTACCACGTAAACTCGTACCAAAAAAGTTAACTCGAACCAATGTGAACTATTACCACTGGGAAGTCGTACCAATCAGAACTCGTACCACTGCAAACTCGTACCATTAAAAATATATTCAAAAATACGAATGTTTTATGATTTTTTTTTTGGTAAACTTAATAAAAAAAGTTGAATTACTTGAATTTTATACTAGATTTTATTTTTTGATTATTTTTTTTTAAGCTTTATACAAAAAATTAAAATATCTTTGAATTTTATACCAGATTTTAATGAAAACTTAGACAAAAATCAACTTGTTTAACCATATTATTAAATTTTGATTGTTGTTTTATAATTTAACAGCTTGGAATTAAATGTATAATGTTTATTATTAAATGAAATTCCTGATTATCAAAACATAAGCTGACATGAGTTGTCTCAAAGCCCACTTTCCTCATAAAATGGGGCATGTTTGTGAGGTTTCTCATAACCACAATGGAAGACGACAATTGTATATGGTGCCTCTCTCTGGTTAGACCCCGACAAGAAGAGTGTGATGTATGTTCTAAATGGCAACACAGAAAGTGCGGAAATATAGGTAGCTACAAATTGGTCATTGTAATTTCAAATTATATACATTTTACAGACTTAAGAGGTATCGAGTGAAATTAAAGTATATATTCATCATTAAACACCATTTGAATGCATTTAAATAAGTTGGTACGAGTTTACAATGGTATGAATTTACCGTGGTACGAGTTAGCAGTGGTACGAGTTTGCATTGGTACGAGTTCTTTTTTAGTGGTACGAGTTGACATTGGTACGAGATTACAATGGTACGAGATACCTTTAATTCGATTTTAGATACTGATTTTATTTCATTCTTTTTAAAAAACGATCTAGCATATACAGAAAGAACAATTCAATTCTATATAAAGAACAATTACCATATTCAATCATGTTTTAATGAACAACTATACTCTTGCATTCTATAAATCTCCATAACGAATCTCATTAAAGCAATAACCTGGACTATGCACAATTCCTTTCATCTTTTTAGAACATCTAGAATTTCAATTAAAACGAAGTATTTTGTTTCGAAGAATTCTTTTTTTTTTATCATGAAATTTAGATAAGTAGCAGTTGGACGGCAAACGATTTAATGGCTTCTAAGGTCAAGACATTGGTCACGTGACAAAAGGTCAGAGTTTACGGGTTTTTTTTTGGTAAACGTGCATGCCTGGTGGTTTTTTTACTCGTATCGTCTTATTTGTACTCGTACATCAATAAAAATCAAAGTGTTCAATTCTAGATTGAATAAGCTTCATTATTCTTTGTAATTATTATTAAAAAGTGTTGTTAAAGTATTATAAATTCACGAGTGAAGTGAAACTTTTTTTCTGAAAATTTGCGTAGGTCCACGGAAAATCCTTAATTATTCCTTAAATAGGTATGGTAACGTGTTGAGGGGTATAAAATACCATTTTTTACGTTAAATTTTGATGATCAAAGGGAGATAACTCCGTACACGCGTTGTAGGAAATTGCAAGTTCACAACAGTAAATTCGAGTAAAATTAATGATTGTAGTTATATTTCGACACTTTCTTGAATACCCATCCAATATTTCATGTTCCTCTACTTTTGTAACATTAAAATAGTCATGGAATGGTTGAATATGGCATTTTTTCAAGTACCCTAACACAGGTTTTTGAAAACTTCCAAAAAAGAAAATTATAGATAACTGACTTTTCTCTGAAACTTGGACTTATTTTAATATTCTCAAACACCCTTTTGGTAGATGGAATGATACAAGTCTTTGTTTTACTTTCTTTGTATCAATATTCTTAGAAAGGATATGAAAATAAACTCAGTGTTTGTACATGTTGGTTGTTTATAGAACAGTTTGTTTAAATATATTAAAATTACACTCTAAAATTAGACTTGAATTTTTATAATTAAATAAGTATCTAACATATAAAGTTGTTAATCTGGTGCACTGAAAATGTTCCATCAGAAATGAGATTTAAAAAAGTTATTTAGACTGAAGAACTTATAGATTGTCAATTTTTATGCTGATCATATGGGGAAAAAGAGTGATATTATAAATTCTAACACAGCATCAATTGTGAAACAATAGTTCTCTCCTACAGACATTTTATTTTTCAAGATGTTAGGCTTGCCGATCAATTTACATATTTAAGATTTCACTGTTAAGAGTGGAAAAATAACTTATTGACAGAGATTCTGTATGGGAATGTTTCTCTTGATATTTTTAAACAATACATTTATGTTACCAACTACATTGTATCTTTGTTTTTCTACTATGATCTGCAAAGAGATGGGTTCTTTATGTGTGACCTCAATGATTGTCAAGCATGATTATTGGTAGCCTTTATTCCTGATGTAACAATGGAAAATTCTGAGAAAAGCAAGAACTTTTAAGCAGATCCAGGTCTTTTATAAAGAGAGGGTTGATTATTTCTTAATTTCCATATACAGAAAAAACATATTTCATTTCATGCCAAATAATTACATACAAGAGGGGTTTATCAGCCATTTGTCAGCAGAACTTGTGTTACAATAGAATTTAACTTTGCATTACATTAAAATACAATATGGAAAAAAAGAATATGTAGACAAAACATGCTTCAAAATTGTGAACATTGACATTGAATGAAAAAAAAGTCAATTTGCAGTGGACAGAAGTACAATTTTTTATTTTTATATTATACCTGCTATAAGATACAGCGGCGGATCTCCCGGGGGTCCGGCGATTGGAATCCCCTCTTTTTATCGACAACCAATGCATTTGAATGGAAACATATAGTTGAAACCCCCCCCCCCCCCCCTCGTCTTTGAAAATTGGCTTGATCCGCCCCCGAGATAAGAAACTATATAAAATGTACAAGTTCCGTTGCTCGCTCTTAATCAAGAGAAAAAATCTGAACATCCAAAAAGCCAGAAAGGGATTTAAATCATTATAATCAACACAAAGAAAACTGAACAAAAAGCTGTATTGCAATCTGATATCATGCAGTTCTCATAATTCCTATTACATGTATTACTTCAAGTTTTGATTTTATTTTCCTTATATTTGAATTCAAAAGTCCTACAAACAACTGTTGAGTCCTTTAATTAAATTATTCGTTTAAAAATAAATGATTAGCTAAGCTGATCTGTAAATAAAGTCTGAAAATGCTTTGTTTAAATAAAAGAGTGTTATTATGTCATAAAATATACTGAATCAACTTCAAATTTAATCCAAATTCATATTTAACTGCTCTAAAATGCATAGTCAATTGAACTACAAAACAAAAACCTGAGACTACTATAATATGTATAGAGATTGGTCACTTCCCATGTTATAGTATTCTGAGATAAAAACAAAGCTGACTTAAAAACATGTACAGTATGTTAAGAATTTTTTTGAAGAATGGACAACAATGAGATATTAATTTTTCTGATATCAGAAAAATTCTCATAGTATCAAATCAGAATGCGAGTTCTTTTTATTGGGATAATCAATTTAATCGCATTATTTACTTTAATAAAAACCTCATGATAATATCTGAATTCACAGTCATGACTTAGCTTGTCAACCTCTACACTTAAAAATTTAAGGTTCCTAGGCCTAAATGTGGTTGAAATACAGACAATTTTGGTAACTTTTACAAAAAAACTCTTTTTTATGATATACATAACAATTTCAGAATAAGCTGCATTAAGTTATATATGTATCACATATAAGAATGCTAGTTTGTATTAATATCGTGATTATCATGATTATTGCAATAAGTTGTTATTATTCAATTAATTAGAATAAACATAAATTATTTTTGAATTGATAGATCTGGAACTAGTACATACATTTGTTTTTTTAAACATCTATATACTATTCATAAAGGAACTTATTCAAATATATTTTGTACAAGACAGCCATGGCAGTTCACAATTACAGTGGTCATTATAAACATAATGACACAATTTATACAACCAAATTTTATTGTTGATATATGTAAACTGAAATCATAGCAGAATTTTTCTTTCAAATGATATAATGTTTGTTAGTCACTTACTTTAAATACTTAACCTATACTAAAATAAAGAGATGTGGTATGATTGCCAATGAGATAACAGTATAGAAACTATCCACCAGAGTCCAAATGTCTGTTAGCAGTTAAATTATAAGTCACTCTACAGACATCAACAATGAATACATTTCATTGTTATCAGGCAGATGAGGAAAAAGAGTAATGATAGCTTTTTTAGCTTACTACATGTACAAGAGAATATAAGAAATATAATAATATAAAAAAGGAAATAATAGAGATAAAAAAGACAGGACTTAGCCACTGGACTATATGTAAAGTGTTCCCTTACTAATCCTTAGAAAAAAGGATGTTGAGGACTTGGCCACATCAATCAGCATTTTTAGACACTACATTATGGTCAATTGCAATCTGCCCTATTTGCTCCAACCCCTAACGAGTATTAAAATTAATACCTAGGGTGGGAATTAAACCCATGTATGTTCATTTATTCTATTGTTCTCTATGTACATACATGTACATGTATATGAAATATATCAAATGCAAAAAAATGCTGGAATGTAAATATGGTAATTTACATCATGTACATTATTACAGCCTCATTTTTTAAGGACCTAGTAAAGGAAGTCCCTGGACCTAGACCTATTTCTTAGGCAAGGTGTATTATATAACTCTTGAAAGTAGTAAAATGCAATTGTAAAATTAATTTTATCTGCTGTTAAACAATAATAACACGATATTAGTATTTAGAAACAACAACGTTCAATTTAGGTAAACAAACATCAATAATCTACCATGTGTTTGTCTGCTGTGCTTGAATATTCAAAACGACCCATCAGATTTATTTACACGAATATTTGCTAAAGCAGACAGTTAAACATGTCTGTTTACCTTATAAGTTCTATAAAAAATGCATTTGCTGTTATGACTTGTGTATGCATGGAAATATAATGAACATAACATTGATTATTTACCGTAAATATTGAATACATACACACAAAACACATGGCACTTTTGTAACGATGGATGGTAACGTATAGCCACTTTATAACAGTAAATCCCATTGGATAAGCTACCCTACACAGTACATAATATGCAAATTAATGATTGGATACGAATTTGTGTCAGCTCTCAAATCGATGGAAAAATGTAAACATTGGAATCCGCCATTTTGACATAGGAAACAAACTAATTTTGAATCTTGGATTAAAGGACATTGCGCACATTGCCAGCGTATCATGCATAACCAGTCATGTGCAAATATATCTTTTAATTAGTTTTATACACTTACTTTTCTATGTTTTACTTAATTTAATGTTTTAATTTACTAAAGAACGGAACATCGTTCTCAAAGACGCCGTAGAAAAAATTATAGGTGGCGCTGTTTGTGGGCGTAAACATTTTACATACGGGTACTTTTTGTGTCGACAGATTGGCCTTTATCTGTCAGATTCAGGCGTTTGCCGTTCAACTGATGGTGTTTTTCATGCAATGAATAACAAAGATGTTAAAAATCAGAGAAAAAACACTGAACGCTATCAAGAGATCACAATTAAACCCGGATGGATGGATTGATTTTCAACGTCCAATGGAAAACATTACACATTACATATATAGGGAAGTGAAAATTTTAATGTTATATGAAAATAAACCCTGCTTTGTAAAAGACCGAAACGCTACGACCTTTGATGTGCTAATTCAATAGTTAACAGTTCGCAGAAGACATGTCACACTAGACAGACACAGATTCCGAGTCGACCAATTTTGTTATTACTCCTAAAGGTCACGTGGTTAGCGGGAAAACAACAATGACCAATTTTCAAGTCTTAGGTTGATCCGGCTAGGGATCATACCTACATACTTCGTTTTTGCCGAGTACTCTATATTGAGACCATCGAGGCGGTTTAAAATAAATCGCGCTGTCTGATTTGTGAGCATATGTAAAAGTGCAAAATTTGTTAAAGACCCCCCCTCCCCTCCTTAAAAAAAAAGAAGAAAAGATTTAAAAAAAAGATACATAAATAAAATAATTATATGTGGACGAACGAACAGGTTTTTTTTATGTTCGATATAGCCGAAATAAATAAAAACACATTTTGCACCACCGCTTGAATTAGCAATTTGCTAAACACATCTTCTTTATAACGTACCTGTTTTGTCTCGTGTATTTCTGTATTGTCAAGTCTCCAATCCCTAGACAGATTGCTGCGAAGTCCATGTTCACTATTTTCTTTTCCCTTTGCGTTCAAATTTTCTGAACTTGACTCGAAATTCGTCTCATTGTCTACATAAAAAATACAAAAATACACTCATACACAAAGATTATGTTGATTATATAAACTTTAATGAAGGACGAACTACATAAAGCAAGCTTTGTTTTAAAGGTTAATGAGCATTTTTTAAGAAGTTCTTGATGATGCTGGGAATGACAAGGACACATGATAATTAGTCTCAGTTGAGGAGTATTAAATGGATAAAATTCGAATTCCTTTTGTTGTTTCACAGGTTGGGCTGCTTCTCATGTCATTTTTAACCGGATTTTCGAAGGAAATATCGGTTATTAAAATGGTTATATACGGCGGGCGGCTGGGCGGCTCTGGCGGCTGCCAAACATAGTCCGCACAATAACATGAAAACGCATTAATAATTTTTTTTCAAATTTAAATATGATGTTTCCTGGGACTTAATGAAGGTCTCTATTAATTTTCAAGATTTTAGTATATCTCCTTTGTGAGTTATCTTCATTTTTAATATCAAAAAGTAGAATTTTAAATTATTTTACTGTTGTTATCTTTTTATGATTTGTCTTATCTCAGAATAAAAATTGGAGTGACAGATTTATTTGAAAATTATCTATTTCCTAAGTGGTAATGATTATAAGCTATATCATTAGACATTTTGAAGATTATTACATTATTAATAATGTTAGAGTACTATGTTAAACGACCATAGTTCTGTTCAATTAGATATTATAAATATTTCAGCATATGATAATGATTTATTTTCATTATTAATTAGATCTTTGAAATATTGTAGTATATGATAATCATTGGAGTGACAGATTTATTTGAAAATTTACTGTTTTCTGATTGAAATATAGGAGAAGTCCATTGGGGTAACCCCTACCCGCCTTTTTTTTGATTACTTGTAAACGGTCAAGATTCCCACCCTGAAACCATATATATTCTTGTATGGGACAATATATCAAATCAAATGAAATATAGGGTAAGTCCACGGGGGGTAAACCCTACCCCCTTCTTTTTGAAAACTTGTAAACGGTTGAGATCCCCACCCCTAAACCATATATGTACTTGTATGGGACAATAAATTAAAGCAAATTAAATTTAGGGGAAGTCCCCTGGGGTAACCCCCTACTCTCTTTTTTTTTTGAAAACTTGTAAATGGTCAAGATCCCCACGGCGAAACCATATATATTCTTGTATGTTACAATAAAACAAATGAAATGAAATAAAAGGTGAGTTCCTTGTGGTCATTCCCACCTTCTTCCTGTTTAAGAACTTGTAAATGGTTGAGAACCCCACCCCTAAACCATATATTTCCTTGTATGGGACAAAAAAACGAATCATATGAAATAAAGGGCAGGTCCCCTGGGAAAATTAATCAGTTTGTGTGTGTTATATTTTAACATAAATTAAATATATATAGGGTTCTTTAAGTGCTGAATCTAAACTTGTTTTAATTAGATAATAATCTATTTTTATTATGAGATAAAGTTTTGACATTGATAGATAAGTTGCAGATCTGTATTATTTTTTGACACCTGAAAGAAACAATATTAGCAACTATTAATTAAATTTGATTATAATATGGAAATAGATATAACATCATATCTGATTTTAGAGAAGTATTTTGCTTGTTTTTTACTGGTTTATGGAAATAAGTTTGAGTTATTTGTTTTCAAAAGTGATGTGTTTAATTGATAGATATAAAATCAGATTTTAGAGATTTATGAGTGGTTAAGTCATATCTAATTTTAGAGAATTATTTTGGTGTTTTGTTACTGGTTCATGGAAATAAATTTTAGTTATTGGCGAAATATCATTGGTTAATTGTTTGAAATTTTTTTGGTAGGCTGTGTGTCTGTATGTCTGTCTGTCTGTCTGTCTGTCTGTCTGTTTGTCCTTCAGTTTGGCAAATCAGTTTGCCACACTTTTATGCCTGCGCTGTTGTTGAGGGGGCATTAAGTTTTACATTTGTCTGTCTGTAAGTACGTATGCTGTATGTCCCAAAATTGGTTTTGTTCTCTATGGGACAATAAAACAAATCAAATGAAATATAGGGGAAGTCCATTGGGGTAACTACCACCCCCTTTTTTTTGATTACTTGAAAACAGTCAAGATCCCAACCCTGAAACCATATATATTCTTCTATGTGACAACAAAACAAATCAAATGAAATAAAAGGTGAGTCCCCTGGGGTCACCCCCACCCCCTCCTGTTTGAGAACTTGTAAACCGTTGAGATCCCCTCCCCTGAAACTATATATATTCTTGTATGGGAACAAATCAAATGATATAGAGGGGAAGTCCATGGGGGTTACCCCCACCCCCTTCTTTTTGATTACTTGGAAACAGTCGAGATCCCCACCCCTAAACCATATATATTCTTAAATGGGACAATAAAACAAATCAAATGAAATTGAGGGGGATTCCCCTGGGGTCACCCCCACCCCCCGTTTTTTTGAAAACTTGTAAACGGTCAAAATCTCCACCCTGGCACCATATATATTCTTGTATGGGACAATAAAACAAATCAAATGAAATACAAGGCGAGTCCCCTGGGGTCATCCCCACCCCCCCTTTTTTAAGATCTTGTAAACGGTCGAGATCCCCACCCCTAAATCATATATATTCTTGTATGGGACAATAACACAAATCAAATGAAATATAGGGGAAGTCCATGGGGGTCACCCCCACCCCTTTTCTTTTTGAAAACTTGTAAACGGTCAAGATCCACACCCTGAAACTATATATATTCTTGTATGGGACAATAAAACAAATCAAATTAAAAATAAAAGGCGAGTCCCCTGGGGTCACCCCCACCCCTTCCTGTTTGAGAACTTGTAAACGGTCGAGATCCCCACCCCTAAACCATATATATTCTTGTATGCAATAAAACAAATCAAATGAAATATAGGGAAGTTCATGGGGGTCACCCCCACCCCCTTCTTTTTGATAACTTGTAAACGGTCTAGATCCCCTCCCCTAAACCATATCTATTCTTGAATGGGACAATAAAACAAATCAAATGAAATATAGGGGAAGTCCATTGGAGTAACCCCCACCCCCTTCTGCTTGAGAAATTGTAAACGGTTGAGATCCCCTCCCCTAAACCATATATATTCTTGTATGGGACAATTAAACAAATCAAATGAAATTGAGGGGAAGTCCACAAGGGTAAACCCCAACCCCTTCTTTTTGAAAACTTGTAAACGGTTGAGATCCCCACCCCTAAAACATATATAATCTTGTATGGGATAATAACACAAATCAAATGAAATAAAAGGTGAGTCCCCTGGGGTAACCCCCCACCCCCTTTTTTTTGGGTTAACTTGTAAACAGTCAAGATCCCCATCCTGAAACCATTTTTCTTCTTGTATATTACAATAAAACAAATCAAATGAAATAAAAGTTGAGTCCCCTGGGGTCTTTTTTGTGATTGAGTTATTTTCCTTTGAACAGAAATTGTTAATTATATGCATTAAGTTTGATTACACTAAGCCTTTATAGATAATTTTCACCTGTTTATAAGTCCTGTAATCAGTTTACTAAACATATGGTTAATGTCTTATCTTTAGTGACAGATTTATTTGAAAATTTTCTGTTTTCTAAGTGTTGATGATTAAAAGCTATATAGTTCATTATTAGACTTTTGAAGATAATTACAGATAAGTTTTATAGATTTTTAAAAGACATTGTATTAATGATAAATAAAATTTTAGATTTTTTTTCTTTACTTTGGTAAATTGTTAATTGTTTGTTATTCTGTAAAAACTAATTTTCTGAATGCTATATATATTTTTTGGATTAAGTGAACTCCTTTTAAAACTTAGCTTAGATTGTCTATTAATAAACATATATTTAGATTTCTGATTTTGGGCCCAGTTTTCAAGTTGGTCCAAATTAGGGTCCAAAATTAAACTGTGTTTGATTTCAACATAAATTGAATATATATATAGGGTTCTTTGAAATGCTGAATCTAAACCTGTATTTATTTTCATTATTAGTTAGTTCATACCACATCGAGGTACTAAGGGTCCTAAATTAAACTTTTGTTTAATCAACAATTGAATTCTTGGGTTCTTTGATATGCTGATTTTAACAATGTTTGAGTGTTAAATCATATCTAATTTAAGAGAACTTAGTCATCACTGGTTGTTGATAAATATATGGATAAAATTAAATTGTGTTTCATTTCAAGTTTTCAACTTAAATTAAATATATATAGGGTTCTTTCAAATGCTGAATCTAAACCTGTATTTAAATATTAGATTTTTAGGCCCAGTTTTCAAGTTGGTCCAAATCAGGGTCCAAAATTAAACTTTGTTTGATTCACAAAAATTGAATTTATGTGGTTCCTTGAAATGCTGAATCTTACCATGTATTGAGAGATTTTGGATTGTGAACTCCTTTATTAAATTGGTCTACATTGTGGTCCAAAGGGTCCTAAATTAAACCTTTGTTTGATTTCATTGAAAAATGAATTTTTGGAGTTCTTTGATATGCTGATTCTGACAATGTACTTAGATTTTGGATATTGGACCATAGTAGGTAATTAAATAAATGTCCAATTTCAAATATTTCAGTTCTTTGACTACATTCATTTTGTGTCACAAACCTATGCTGTGTCAAATATTCAACCACAATCCAAATTCAGATCAGTTTTAAGCTTAAATGAAGTGTCCATACTTGCTCAACTGTTCAGGGTTTGACTTTTGCAGGAAAATTCGGTTTGCTGTCACTCTGACAGCCTCTTGTTTATGGTTATTATAAATATAACACAATCTTTGATATAGATTCATAGTCAATTAAGATTTATAGCGAAGAGCCAGGAATTTTATCATTTCTATTTTCTATTTTTTATCTACACCTATAACATCTGTTATCAAGAATGTTACAAACGAAACAAATTAAGCTTTTAAAAATGAATAGAAACACACAAATGTTAGTATAAATTCCATAAAGCAATGAAAATTATATATTTTGAAATAAAAAGTTTTTAAAGCAATGGGTTTATGTGTTTATGTTTAGATGTATAAAATCGTAATCTGTGTTAGATTTCACTTAGCAATTGTTTGTATGACTCAAATAGATACGTGTATGTGGTATATGACAATGGGACAGCAACCCATGACTCAACTAGTCAAAAGAAATCTGGTTTATATAGAGATCAACATAAAGATTTTATCAACAGACGTCTAAACACACAATTACCGAATCGTATGAAACTTCTATGTAATTATTAAATATTGATCGTAGCAAGTATAAACATGTATGTAACGTGTATATAGCTTTTGGGTAATCATGTTGCTGTCTCATTGACGACACACATCTCCTTAAATTTGTATATTCAAGACGACAAAATTATCATTTTAATATCGCATGCATTACTGTACTGGACAACACGTGTATGAGTGGGCATTCATATCAGAATAGCGGTAGATTCATCTAGTTGGGTTTTCCATCTAGATACTTGTTGAAAGCATCTAGATACTTTTAACAAGTATTTAGATGCTTCGTATAAGTATCTAGATGGTTGTAAGAAAACATCTAGATACTCTGGCGAACTATCTAGATACTTTTTTTCCATCTAGATATTTGATTTATTATAAATCACCCATACCATCACGCATCCCATATTGCCTGACAGGACCCGACACTATTATAGCGTTTCGGCAGTTAAAGCTTGGGACGGTCATCTTAAGATGCATTACTTTGATATAATCAAATATGAAAATTATTCATAGATATAGAAAGATGTGGTATGAGTGCCAATGAGACAACTCTCCATCCAAGTTACAATTTATAAAAGTAAACCATTATAGGTCAAGGTACGGCCTTCAACACAGAGCATTGGCTCACACCGAACAGCAAGCTATAAAGGGCCCCAAAACATTACTAGAGTAAAACCATTCAAACGGAAAAACCGTTAAAAACGAGAAACGAGAAACACGTATGAACTACATAAACAGACGACAACTACTGTAATCAGATTCCTGACTTAGGACAGGTGCAAACATTTGCAGCGGGATTAAACGTTTTAATGGTACCAAACCTTCTCCCTTTTCTGAAACAATAGTATAACATCACAACATAGAAAAACACACTATAAAATATCAATTGGAAGTCTTAACTCAATCAAAAAACGTAAATTAACACACAATGAACGAATAAATTTGACCTGTGACACCTGAATGCAAATACACAGTTAACAAGAAATGATTGTAACAGGATGCTGTTACGAAGTCTCCCAAACGAAGCTCCCATAATTTGTAATTCCCAGGGTCGCCTGACATTGGGCAAAGTCCAGTTAAATAGTTAATAAAAAATTACAAGGGATAAATAATTAAAGTCAAAAGTAAATAAACAGGTTTAAACAAAGTTAAAGTATGATATCACTGTGAAATGTCAATTAATTTTTAGAAAATCATCACTTTTGAAGAAACCTGCGTCATATTATACACAGGTAAATGAAAATAATTTTGTTGTTAAGTATACTTCTTCTTCTGTGTGTATAAAATCTTCCGTTTAGGATTACCAAGAAATTTCTTTAATATCAATAAAACTAATCTAACACTTGGTACATATGGGGTGAATATCATCAATAAAACTATACAATTAGTGCTAGATAAAACTTCCTGTACAGGTCCAAGAACAGCATCTAAGGATCATGAAATAATTTTGAGGTTCATAGTACGAAGAAGTGAAAATTTGTAGTAATACCAGATAATCAAAGCTGGTATATAGACAAGATCCATGTTAACATTAAATAACAAAAAAGCATTACAAATAGTATCAACAGGTCAAATTAAATAGAAAAGTTCGATTATGTACATGCATATATTGATATATCTAGGTTTTAATTCTTCATCAATTATTATAGATCTAGATATTATGACAGATCTGCCATCATCAGGGGCCCAACTGTCAATTTTATGTTAAATTCTTTAACTTTGATCTAGTACATATCTCCTACACTTTTATGTTTGCTATACGCAACTATTGGTGCAACATTAAATACTTGTACACATTCTTCGTCAAACTGCAATAAATGCTCGTGTTTCATTGTACTTTTTTTTTTAAATGTACGTATATATGGGTTATATTTAGCGGAATATTTTCTTTTTCTTTCAATTTGTTTTGCTGTAATCATTCAGTACGGTCATAATTCATAAAGCATCAGTAATACTATCATCTATTTCGACGTTTTCATAACCCCTATCTAATAATTTCACTTTGAAATTAGTTAGATTGTTTATTAATTTGTTATCATGGTTATGGCCACTTGTGTTTCTTATCTGCAGTATTGCTTCACCTTAATATAATAAATCCTCGGAATACATGCTGTGAGTGACAGCCATTTCTATAGGAATTTATAAAAAGCAATACAAAGTAACGAGATACAGCAATACAAGATACGAGATACGAGATACAATAAAATTTAATATGAAATCAAATCAAGTGTAGGTGTAAAATAATCAGTTTTCATTTAGACAGATACATATGATAAAAAATTTTAATTTTAATTACTATTTCAAAAAACTACATTGATTGATTAATTTTCGGTTGCTTAACGTCCAGTGGTAAATATTTCATGCATGTTAAAGACGAGAACAAATTGATAATAATTACAACAGGTAGGTCTTGTAATATAGGCCGTCCAGGATGAAGGTCCCGACCACCACTGGAAAATGAGGGTCATTGGATAGGGACAGAAAATTGGAAGTGCAACAGGCCACCGACGAACCCCTCAAAGAGTTGTTGCAAGGGTTCTTAACGTGCAGAGAGCGTGACACTCTCTCTATACGAAGCATCGGATTTAAGGGCATACGATACAGTTTCGATCCAACGGTGTTTTTTTTACGAAAATTTGCATACAAGCTATTTTTCACCTGGTTAATTCAAATGTGTAATAAAAAATATACCTTCATGTGCTAAATTTAGAGATAAATGGGGTAGAAATTTTAGACATTTACCTAAAATTTTGGTTTCCTGGACATTTCTATCCTTTGGATAAACATATTAAACATTTTTGTTTCAAAAGATAAACACATGCGGATATTTGTAAAAACGATCTGGAATATCTTCTTTACAAAACTATCCTCTTAATTTGTGTAACAATTCTTTGGAAATAATTAATTTTATTAAATTTTCAAGATTTTAGAAAAAAACCGGCATTTTTGCTGTATATTTAACTAGTAATTTAAATAAAAATCATCTGTGATTTCTTCATAAAAATTTTGAATAAATAATCTTCATACAGTATCAAGCGAAATATCATGTTAAAAAAGAGGGGTCCATGTACTCGTTTTCAAGCTAATGATTAAAATCACTCAAAAAAATGCATCTTTTCCCGATATGTCGCAGTTTGACGTCGCGAAAAATAATATTTTACGTTAGCAACGTCACGTCCCTCACTCTGACCGGACGTGGCTGCGTACTTGATACATCTCGCACAGCCAAACGGACGCCCCTCTTTGGCGAGAGTTTGACTGCCAGAAGAAGACCAAAGTGACCATATTTCTATTCCCCAGTCACTTTATAGGTGGGAAATTGAAATAAATACTGTATTTATTTAAGAAAAAGTTAACGATATCTTATTATGATTCGCTGGCTATATGTACTGGTACAAAAAGAGAGGATCTGTCTTAAAGGTTGTATTGAGATATTTGGATTGGTTAAGGACTCGATTCTTTAAACAAGATACAAGAATGATGGAGTCATAATATATAATAGAACATCAAATGAAATTAAAGATTTTTTTCGTGTGAACCAGGTATTTAACGTGCGTTTGTCTTATTGGTGTGCAAAATGTAACAGTCATTATGAACACATAATACAACAGCAAGACGCAAACTCCAGCTCCGAGTCTATAGTGGTCTTAGTTCTTACTTTCTCCTCTGGAAAATGTAAATAATACTTTATATGTTTGGTGCATCCGTAGCGAATTCATAGATTTAGCATCAGAAAAAAAACCGCTTAAAACCAAAAACATTAAAAGTCTATGATGTATAACTATCTGAATACGTGAGAAGCTGAATGGCACAAAAGGACATATAGAAATAATAGCCTAACTAATCTGAGGTGAACTTTGCGCGAGGAAGTTGAAACCGTATTTTTTATCATGTGCCGAAGCATCATACATGTATGACAGTCACACACCGTGACGTACATTCCGCCATCTATGGGTAGCAACAAATACCAATTCTGAATTCCTCTACCCGTTCACATAAAACCCAAAACTTTAAAAGGAACACACACTGCTACCTTTCAAACAAGGTGGTAAGTAATTCATGACAAAAGCACGAATAAACCGAACAAATAAACTATATTATAATATCCCCAATAATGCGCCCAAACGCTTCTATAACTTTGTCTTTGTAAATCTTATTTCGAAATTCATATTTTTAGAGGCAAGCTACCCAAATCTTAAGCATACCTTTCGTGTCTCCTTTACATGACCTATGTTGTTTTGGGGAGCATTTATTCCACAACTGGTTAAAAAACATTTCGAGGTCTGCACTTAGTTGTTCCTTTGTTTCCCTCATTATTCGTAATCTATTTGTCAATAAAATAGTCCATTCCTGGAGTTCTTTTTCCTTCATTTTCATATCTTCTCTACTTAAGTGTTCGAAACTAATTTCTTTCATCATTGTTTCTACAGGCTGTTTAATCAAATGGTCAATTTCATGCATAACAGTTTTCGTTGTTTCTTGAATCATGTTTATTGTATTTAACAACCAACGAATCCTTATACTATAAGTAAAAGTATTCACTGAGCAGTCACTTTCACAGGGAGACGCTGGAGGTGTAGAAAATTCATCAAATTCCATGATGATTCTTATCTGAGAGATGACGTTTGTACTTTAAATAATTCTAATAATCCTACATGTATTACTACTTTATCCCATTGCTGATCTTGAAAACGAAAATCGTCATAATTTAATTCTTCAAACACGAACCATTCATTTGGATGTATACGTATCAACCATTCATTGTGTGTAACAAATTATGCCAATGCTTCCATTGCCTTGTGATACGACAAGAAATATGTGGGAAGAAGACTGTTCTATTGAACGATATATATAATTTTATATAAATAAACACATCATTCTTGCACAATGTGCATTTTTGAATGAAACTCTAGAACTAGGTTACATTGAACTGACGCCGTAATTATATTGATTTGAAAGCTAGCACGAGAATACTATGATGAATGATCTGTATTTTTGATAAAAGTGTAACCGGCAAACATACTACTAGAATGACGATGATAACGAGATGCAACGCAGCTGGTTGCAGAAATCGGCACTGCCAAAGATATACAATGACTAAGACCTAGTCACTTGCGTGATGCCACTCTCTATAACTCCACTGGCAGAACAAGAAACAAGTCTATGCAGTAGTTAACAACCTAATGATTTCTGGACGGAATACATGTTATTTAAGAATTAGGAAGATGCTGTCAGTTTGAATGACTGAACCTCACTGAGGTAAAGACTTCAGAAAACATACTACTGATTAAAGAATTTTGGCTAGGTTACAATGATATCATCATTTACTCCAAGATGTCTTTAAATGAAATTGGATAACCTGTATTTATTATGCTTTTCAATTACATATGGTCAAATCGCTGAAAGACCCCCTCCTAAATTATTGAAAACTATCATTCTGCATTGACAATATTATCTTAGTGTAAATAAGATACATTCATTCGGGCTATCGCACTCAAGGTGTATCTAATACAGAAACGCGGTAATAGAATGACAATTAAATAAACGTACAATTACTAGTAGCACGCAAAGAAGATATACATAAGAAAATAATTGATAACGGATTAGAGACATAAAAAGTAATTTTTACATAATAAATAGAAATAATTTGACATTTGAAATGCTTATACTCGAAAATATGCAATTGAACATTTTGAATGGTTCTATATATGCTTGGAAGTGAATAAAAATAATATTGACGGACACATAGTGCAAAGGAAATGATTATGATAAAATCATAATTAGTTCTACATCAGAAAAATTAGAATTTATGTCCGAGTTGTTTATTAGTGAAAGTCTAAAAATGTGCGAATTAAGAATAAGATTGTTTTAAATAGATCGAAACAGAGATACACAAATTTCAAATGTCGAATTTCAAAATTCAGCTCTACCACAAGAGAATAGAAAAAAAAAGAGGGACGAAAGATTCTAGAGGGACAGTCAAACTCATTGATCGAAAAAATTATGTCGTAATCTTAAGCAATTGAAACTGACATCTTTGTAAGCAAAGATAATAATTCTAATGATTGTCTGTATGAACAATGTCATACCTGTTTAATTGTAAGATACATTCACAAATTGCGTCAAGAGCTATCAAATAAGTGGTTTTGAAAAGGCTATTATAAGTATTTTATTAAATATATAAAGAATATAGCATAATATTACACAAATCCAGTTAACCACACGGCACACACATGAAGAGATTATACTGTAATTGCAGTGACAATCAAAGACGTTTCAAAATTGTCCGTGCTAAAGATCCAAAACAAAAAAAGAAATTAATCCTTTTACAAAGCTTTAAAACAACAACTAGCCCGAGCTTAATTAATCGGCCCTCAGGAATTTGCTGTACTAACCAAACTTATTCCACTTTGCTAGATTCTGGGCGATTTAAACCTAAACCTTATTTTCGAGGATTGGAATCAATTGTATAACCTGATATTTTGGATCAATGCAAGAATCACTTATTTTTTTTATTATTATTGACTATTCTACGGTCGTGAAATATACTTTACATGACAATATTTGTAGTCAGAACTTTTGTGAGGCTAAGATTTCATGTCATTGTTCCACGTCATGGAAGTATGATCAATCAAGCAAAATATAAATTCTACTGAGAAGAAAACAAAATAAACAGATTTTATGCACACTGACAAAATTGTAAAAGACATTTACGCAAAAGAAGTAAACAGCAACAAACGGCCTTATCTGGATATTCATCAATCGTGTTGCTGTTGTTTCTTCTTACATATGCAACATGTTCAAAACGTTTTGGGGAACTTATCATAGTCTTTAAAACAACATAGACACTATATTAAGCTTGAAACACTTCTGGTTTTAATCCTTACATCGATGGTATATTTGGCATGCTGAACAATCGATTGAGGGAACGGTAATTATTTATCAGCTGAGGGGGTCGGCTCAAATTTTTTTCACAAAAAAGTTTGCACCACCTATCATTCTTATGAACAACATAATCACCCCCCCCCCCCCCCTAAGAACCTAGTTTCAAAAGTTTGACAGCTCAATGGACACTGACACAACCTTTTACCAAGTACAACAGAACATGATTTTCCCCTGATTACAATACTGATATTCTCTGATTTTGTACTGGCTTTGGATACATTCTACACTATAATTCTATTAATTTATAGGTAGCTTGAAATAATCAATTTATTTGATAAAGATCATTCATTTTGTTTGGTAAGAAGTCATTAGTGAGTTTAATCCTTAGGTTGAATTTCCTTGATGTTTCATCATGACCTTCCTTATTCTTTGTTTTGAAGCTGTTGCAGCTAATGTTAATCAACATTTTTCAGTTTTACCCTGCTTTAAAAACACCCTAAGTATAAAATAGATTTTTTTTTCAAATTTCAATAATTAGTGGTATAATACTTTTGGAAATGACCCCTCCTAAAATGCACTGTCCACCTCGCCTTATAAATAATGACTGGTCCCTAAATATTCGCATCTTTGGAGTATTTACAGGATTTAATTCGATAACATTTCATTTCATTCAAAGTTGTAAATAAAGATTGTAATCTATTAAGCTCTACAAATTGTATTGTAATGACAGACACATGCATTAAATTTTATTCTCATTGGAATCTGAGATTGGAACTTTTGTTTTAATCACAGACGATATCTATTAACAACCCATTACATTAATTCGACAAAATATGTGCAATGTGTTTACCTGTGAAACCTTAAGACATGCCATTAACACGCTAATTGACAAGTTACATCTATCAAAAACACGACTTATAACAAGACATGTGAGACATTCCTCAATCATTCCGTTCTGACTTAATTAGTTACATCATTGTTATGCGTAGTCTTCGACAATACTTTATATATCAGATGCATGTTAAACAAAGCTGTCATAAGAATTCATAAAACAAGACTTTGAACTATAATGGTTTACTTTTATAAATTTTGACTTGAATGGTGAGTTGTCTCGTTGGCACTCATACCACATCTTCTTATATCTATAGACATGATTGAAGATTGTTTTGGCTTCTGTTAGTTAATTGAGAGAATAAAAAGAATCAAATTTTTTTCGAAGTATATATAATGAATTATTGATGTTAGAATTTTGGTAACCTCTGTGGGATTTATTTACATTGGTGAATAAAAGGAGATGTGGATTATCGTCAACGAAACAGCAACCCAACGACATAAAAGATTATAATACATTTCTTATATTGATGTTTTAAAAAAACCAAACATGTTCATATACAATCGAAAGCTATGTATCCAAACACCAATTTAAAACTTTTTATAATAGACCAAACCATGATATAAAGGAGAAGTCCGGTAAGGGATTTTTTTTGGCCTAAAATTTGAAGTACATCTGATGTAACATTTTTGACAGTTTAAGTGTCTTCTCCAGTCGATTCATTTAGTTTATGTAAAAGATTTGAACTGAGTTGGTCATTAAAGACGCCAACATTCAATCTAAAATATGAAAAATCTATCAAATATGCCACAAAACGTCACTTTTCAGATGGTTTTTGTCTGAAATGGAAGTGGCCGCATTCGTGATCAGTCTCAACCTTTATATATGTCATGTATCATCATCAAATACAACATTTATCTAAATATTAAGACTGAACACAAGTGCGGCCACTTCCATTTTAGACAAAAACCGTCTACAATTTAGCACAAAATTTAATGCTAAAATTGTGAAGATTTCAGTAATTTTGCATGAATTAAAGATGCTAGTACCTGATAAATGTGCAGTGTAATGTCAAAAACATTCCATATTAATGTAATGAAAGTATTCTACTTTCCAATAAATAGCTAAAAGTTTACATTTTTAACAAGTTTTTTAAATGCTATATTTTGGGGCCAAAAAGGGGTCTTATCGGGCCTACTCCTTTTTGAAATTTACCCTTTTTGCAGAAGATTTCGACCATATTCGTGGGAACTTTCGATGCATATTGTTTTTCTTTGTTTTTATTTAACGATTTGTCTGTCAAGTTTTAAAAAGAGAGGGAATTTAAAATATGTTTTACAAAAAAGCATCCGTTAAAAGTTTTTAAAAGATTTGATTTTAAGAATAGGTCGCATCGATTTTATTATACATGATGTGCAGTTTTCGCATCTAATATTTATATCGGTCGGGAGTAATATTAAGGTCCGTTTGAATATGCCAATTTAGTTTGGAATGTTGTGTTTTGTGAATTTGTTTTTCGTTTCGTCGTCTTTTGTTTTTTGCCATGGCGTCAGTTTATCTCGTTATGAGCTTTGAATGTCCCCTTGGTATTTTTAACCTCTTTTTCATGATTCACATCGAAGCTACAGAAAACATAATAACGACATCTAACAAAGGGCTAAAGAAAAAATTTATTTCAGACGTTAGTTATGATAATTTCAATATTTATATCATCTTTAAGTCTCAGTTTCTTTTAACATCTTAATACACATTCCCTTTGGCCAGAAGTTTGTTTTATAAAATATAATCGTATCTTCGGCGTCTACTGTTAGATGATAAAGGCTATCACTTTTTAATGTTAGTTAGCTTTTTATATCAAGGTTTGGTAACACTCCAAGCAGAGAAACCATGAATGAAATGTTTTGGAATTCTTCCATGATAGAAGATAGTGGATCAACAGAAACAAAAGATATAAATAATATGACGTGATTTTGAACTATCAGCTTAAAAATAATCACAATAAGTAAACAAACAACCTGTTCGGAAAACGAAAAATGAAATTTTAATAAAGTGGCTA